ATATATATATATATAATCAATCATATCCACTTTGGTACTGAGATTTGGTTAAGTACATATATATAAAGAGCTATAAACTTATTGATGGAAGATAGAATTAAAATAAGTGGTGGCTGCCTGTAGCCAGTTCCATGAGGGACATATAAATGTTTTGTAGTTTAGGTGTCCCAATGTAATGTAGCCTCTTCATGAGATGATACTTAATTTTAAGCCAGTTTCTCTTCAGCAAAGACTTCAGCAGTTTTTAAGTCAAAATAAAAACAGTAATGGCTGAGTTTCTAATAAACAATTCAAAAAAAACATTTGGTCTTGTAATTCTCGGTCGTCAGGCTTGCTTTGTGACTAAAAAGTACAAATCATTGTCCTAACCGGTTTGGTTCAGTGGATAGAGCTTCAGCCTGAGGACTTAAGGGTCCCAGGTTCAATTCCAGTCAAGGGCATGTACCTTGGTTGCCCTGATCGATGTTTCTCTGTCATCAATGTTTTTAACTCTCTATCCCTCTCTCTTCCTCTCTGTAAAAAATCAATAAAACCCATTTTTAAAAAAGTACAAATCATAATGTTTTGAATCCCTATGTGTTGGATGTTATTAAATATTTCTCTTTGTCTCCCTGACATTATCATTGGTAAATATGACCAATGAAAACATTATAGCCCAGCTATCAATTTTTCATCATTTATTTTCTTAAGGAGTGGAAAAATTTAATTAGACATTCAACATATGAATATATTCAGCAGTGAATGCTCCAAGTAGCCAAACTGAAGCTCAAGTTAACTTAGGAAATTTGATCTGTGTTGAAGAATTCCAAAAGAAATAAAGAATAGATTTGAAATTTCATTAGCAGAAAATAAAAATATTAAAATATAGTCATAGGTAAAGGGTCAGAAAGAAACATATCATCATAAATACCATTTTAAATGAGCTAAGCACACATTAGAATTACCTTATAAACTTTATAAAAATTACATATAAAGAAGAATGTCAAATTAAAAACTAAAAGTTAAAACCTGTAATAAAGAAGCTCAACTTCTCCCTCTAATCCTGTTGTAGACAGAAATCAAACTAAATTAGACTTAATAGCTTTCATGTTTTTCCTAAACCAAAAACACAGAACACATTTTTTTCTTCAGAAACACAGAAAATAGTTTTGCTTTTCTCCAATATCTTGATTCTTTCTTCTACCTGGTGTAATTTTCAGAGCTGGAAATTACATATTTCAGTTTGAAGATCCACTGGCTATTTCTTGGATATTTTCAGAGTGCACCTCAACAGGAAACTCTTTGGTTATTTCCTTGAATAAAGATAAATCATGTATTAGGAATTGTTTTGGCTAATTTTACAACTCAAAGAAAGGTTAGTTTTCTTTTCTATTTAAAAAAAAAAAAGTTCAGTGATAAGTTCCTGGCATTGGTTTAGAGATTTAACAACGGCAGAACTGATGTCTCAGTTTTCTGAGATTAGACATCCTGTCAACTCAGGGTGTAGGATGGCTGCTACAACACCATAGGAAAGGGCATAAGCAAAAAGAAGTTCCAGACACATTCATCCTCTTTTATGAAAAAAAGCAAGAGCTCTCCTT